ATTAATATTAATATTAATATTATTATTATTATTATTAATACTAATAATAACAACAATAATTTACAGGTTGTCAAATGAATTGATAAAGTGAATGCAACATCGAAAGAAAAAAAAAAAAAAAGAATTTCTCTTACTTTTTAAAATTAGCTGGCAGAATTCAAGCGGATTTTCATTCTATTCGTTTTTTTTTTCTCTTTTTTGTCATTTGTTCCTCTTTACAGGAGAACATACGGATTACAGTGGCTACGGAGTATTTCCGATGGCTCTTAAAGTATGGACAACAGTTCTGATATCATGTCGAGATGCCGAAGAAATTAGTTTCTTCAATACTGACGATAAGTTTCCGTATGTATACTGCAGATGTTGGTTTTAATGAATTCTACTGATTTTACTAGAAAGAAAGTCCGGTACAGTTAGCAGACACTGAGTAACTATAAATGTCTCTAAAAATGCTTTATCATTCAGGGCATCAGTTTATAAATTAGGTGATGAGTGGATTGGTAAGCCCACTAAATGGTATTACTACTTTCTTTGCGGCTGGAAAGGCATATTAGATCACCTTAATTTGAAACCAAAAGGATTAAATGTACTTCTTTCCGGTAAGGTATAGTTAGTAGTGCGGGACAGACACATCTTCACTTTGATTTTTTTCTACAAATAATTCGTTTTCTCTTATGTGATGGGCTATAATTTTCTTCATAATTTTTTCAAAACTGACGTTTTCTGCAGGTACCATACCACCAAGTTCAGGCCTTTCTAGCTCCAGCTCAATTGTTTGTGCTTCTGCACTCGCCACAATTGCTATACATACTGGAAAAGGTTTTGAAATTATGGATAAGGTGGGTAAGCGAGTGCTAAAGCAAAAGTTTAAGGAAAAATTCTACTTTCCTTCCCTTGACCCAGATATTCAATCCTCAGACTTAACTTTACTTATAACTTTACTTATCTTTTTGTAGGCACTTCTCTCGTAATTCAGTAATTTGTCCGAAATGACCTTATTTTAGCCATCAACTTCTCATGCTTAAGCGATTAACAGCGTCTGGTAATTTAGACTGAATTTGCTGACCGTTGCGCAAAAATGGAAAATTACATTGGAGTTGAAAGTGGTGGTATGGATCAAGCAATCGAAGTTTTAGGCAAACCAGAGTGTGCTATGATGATTGATTTCAAACCTTTGAGATGCGAGGAAGTTGCTTTACCAAAAAATGCAGTTTTTGCAGTCCTTCACTGTGGTCGTACTCTTAGCAAATCTACGACGAGTGACTACAACGAACGAGTTATCGAATGCCGAACAGCATCACAAGTTGGTAATAAAGAAGGTTTTGATCTTTTAAAATTCAGTTGCTCTCCTTGTAGGTTGTCTTTTTTGCAGTTAGCTTGAATGTCCTACAGTTTTCAGATATTGGCAAAATTAAGTAATGTGAAATACTGGAAAGAAGTTCGGACATTACGAGGTGCGGCGGAAGCTATTGGTAAAGATTGCAAAGCAATGGTCGAAGTAGTGAAAGAGTTGCTTCCAGATGCTGTTTACACTCGAGAAGCTATAGAAAAAATCCTTGATATGTCTGACAAAGAATTTGAGGAAGGTCTTCCAAGCAACACAAAGAATAGTCGGTGGTTTATGAAAAATTTATCCTAATGCGTAAATCTGTTTGGAACCGTTTTTTTAGCCATTTGAACTGGAAAACAATGGGTATCAGCGGATATAACAATGATTTCAGAGAAAACATTTAAACTGCGTCAACGAGCCGAGCATGTATATTCAGAAGCAAATCGAGTGTTGCTATTTAGAGATGCGTGCAAGGCAGGCGATATCGAAAAAATGGGTAACCTGATGAATGAGAGTCATGCTAGCTGTAGAGATTTATATGAATGCTCGTGTAAAGAACTGGACGATACGGTTAACTTTTAATTTAAATTGGCTTTGTCACTTTTTAACGTCTATTTATAAACGAAATGGTTACGGACATTACATGCGCGGTTTTCGCCTTCGTTGGCGTCAACATTTTCCTCCAAATTTTATTTCTTTATCAGGGCTTTTTTATAGTAGCAGGAAAATCTATGATAAAATGGTAAGTTTTAATCATTAATGCATTCGTCTTGCAGGTGGCCGAATGTATGAGACAGGGCGCACGAGGAGCTCGTCTAACAGGAGCCGGTTGGGGTGGTTGCGTAGTGGCGATGTTTGAGAAAAGAGACCCAAAATTAAAAGTGCTTCTGTGGAGCGAGGCTGCAGCCGGAATTGAAATGTTTGTTCTTTGATTGGCTGCTGATTGCTGTCAGAAAATTTGTGAGGTTCCAAAACTGATTACATTTTACCACTTCCCTTAGCCGTTTCGTCATGTCAGCTCAGCTAATAACTGTACGACTATGGAATAGATTTTGTGCAGTTATGAACAGCTGACAAATTCTTCCAAACTCATTCCATGATAACTTACGCAAACTGTTTCCTCCTACTATTGCTGCCCATAAATTATATATTACAATGATTTTTTAGAAAAGAATAATATTTACAAAGTGCTGAACATAAAAATATAATTAACCAGTTTGTAATCATTACGCATAACAGCTGAGATCAAAAAATATTTTTGAAGCAAGTTATGAATAAAGTAACTGAAGATGAAAGAACAGAGATGCTGGAAAAAAAAAGTTATTTGTTTTTGCATGTCAGCCACGTGAACTGCTCACATTATTAAAGCCCACTAACTTCCGCTAGAAATATGAGTAAATTAAGCAAAATTTTTTCTTTAGAAATCGGCGAGAAAAAAAATTTCTTTTTCATCATAAAAACGATGTTTGCAAATTAGTGAGAAGGAAGAAGAAATAAAAAATAGACGGCCATCAAAAGGAACATCGACAAGATGTGGCCTGTTAGATGTGCGAACATTACGGGCCTTGTTAAAGGCGCTAATGAAGAAGTTGAAAACTGTTGAAGTAGGATGCAAGTTGGGGAAAAAAATAAGACGATGGTTTTGCAGAGTAATAAATGTGCAAAAGAAGTATTCTGCTTCCGATTATTAATCGCAAATTTGATAGTTGAGTTTAGTCGTCAACAATATGGTGATAATTTTGACGGAACAACGACAAATCGCTGAAAGCGATGTCC